AGACCCAAAACACATTTCTGAGAAAGAAGCAGCATTGTAACTCCCTGATAAGGAATTAAAAAGAATTATATTTAGGTACCTTCAACAGATTGAGAGACAGATCAAGGAAAACACTGACAAAACTGAGGAAAATACAGAGAAAACCCTACAACAATTTTGAAAGACAATACAAGAACAAAATGACAACATAAATGAAAAATTAGGAATTATACAAAACCTACAGAGAAAAATCCAGAAGATTAATACTAAATTTTCAGAAAGATAACATATTGAATGGGCAAAGGAGTAGAATTGAATCAATGGAAGACAGAATTAGTGAGATTGAAGACAAATATCTCAATACTTATTTAGAAAGAGATCAATCAGAAAAGAAGATCAAAACAAAATTAAGAAAGCCTAAGGTTCATGTGGGTTACCATCAAAAGGAATAAGCTACATGTCATTTGAATTCCAGAACAGGAAGAGACAAATAAAACCATAGAGAAAGTTGTCAAAGATTTGTCGGAAGAGAATTTCCCTGGTATGATGAAAAATGAGAATACATCCATTCAGGAAGTCCAATGAACCCTAAACAGGATAGATCCCAAAAGGAAATCACCAAGACATATCATCATCATCACCAAACCAAAACCAAAGACAAAGAAAGAATCCTGAAAGCTGCACGGGAAAAATGAAGTTACCTACAAGGGACAACCAATAAGACTAATCTTGTATTTCTTGGCAGAAACCATGCAGGCGAGAAGATAATGGGATGGTATATATAAAACTCTAAAAGAAAAAAACTTCTAACCAAGAATTATATACCAGCAAAATTGTCCCTCAAATATGATGGTGAAATTAGAACATTTCTAGATAAACAGAAATTAAGGGACTTTGTTAAAACCAGACCAACCTTACAAGAGATGCTAAAGGGAGTCTTTTGGACAGAGAACCAACAACAGCAAACAACTGACTATTAATACACATAACGACATAACTCAGAAACCAACCCCATTATGGAAGTATCCAAAGTAAATAAGCCTCCAAGATTATAAACAGGGAACCAGAGATATCAATTGACAAATTGAGGACAACTACAAACCTAAAAAAAAAGAGAAAAAATTGTGCAGTTACAGAACTTCTAAATGGTAGGAAAGTCAAGAAAACTGCAAGGTAGAACAGACTGTTCTAAATGTGGGGAGAAATTATAAATCACAGGGTAATCTCAAAGAAAAATTACAAACCTT